TTTCTTTCTTTCTTTCTTTCTTTCTTTCTTTCTTTCTTTCTTTCTTTCTTTCTTTCTTTCTTTCTCTCCTTCCTTTCTTCCTTCCTTCCTTTTTCTTCTCCTTCCTTCCTTTCTTCCTTTCCTTCCTTTCCTTTTTTCCTTTTTTTTTTTTTTTTTTTTTTGAGATAGGGTTTCTCTCTGTAGCCCTGGTTGTCTTGGAACTCACTTTGTTGACCAGGCTGGCCTCCAGCTCAGAAATCTGACTGTCTCTGTGCTGGGATTAAAGGTGTTCACCAGCACTGCCCTGTTGCTGCTTTCTTATATAATGCAGGATTATCTCCCCAGGGATGGGACTACAATGATCTGGGCCTCAGTCATTAATTGAGAAAATGCCCCTGCCACTCTGGAACTGGAACCTGCCAGTCTGATGGAGGCAGATCCCCAACTTCGGTTCCTTCTCAAGTGATTCCAGTTTCTGTCTAGTCAGCAAAAACTAACCAGCCCACAGAAGATAAAGCGTATTTATTCTCAAGAAGGTTCGTAGGTCTCATGGGTGGATGTTTTCTTTTTCTTACTACTATTTTAATAATTAAATTATAAGTAGCAAGGTCATCAGAATGCTACCAGGAAGGAAGAGGTGTTCAAGTTTTACAGGGGAAATTGTAAATTGATCATTTAGATCAGTGGATCTCAACCTGTGTAAGGCTTAGACTCTAGAAGAGTGAGTGTTAAATATGAAATTGTGTTAATGAAAATGTTTCATTTTTTTTTTTTTTCTGAGTAGTTAAACAAGAGTAATTCATGGTGCCAAGAAAGGTGCAGGGAATTCAAAGTTGTTTATTTTTATTGATGTATACACCAAGAACAGGCTGTATACATTAAGAACAGGAAGTCACCTGAACAGTGAAGATGTTTGGTAAAGACATTTAACAAGGGGAAAAAAATGAAGTTAGTTTAGGGATAATTCTAGTATAATTTCTACTATCGGTGTAAGAATGAATTCTATTAAAAATGGCATCTGTGTTTAAGGGAAGAACAGAGTTTTCTGATTATAGTGTTGTCTTCAAAAGTTCACATGGAGATCATGAAGGGGGTTTCCAGGAATCTCAGAGTAATAAAATTTAAAAGGTTGGGGGGTGGGCATGTAAGAGTGGTCCTCTGTTGCAACAATAAAGCCTTTAAACTAAAAACAAAGGAGACCAGACAGAGTGGTGTGGTTTTACTCCAGGTTCTGCTACAGTACGTAGAAGGGTCCTAATTACTATTAGGATTTTACTTGTTAGTATTTGGAGAAAGCGAGGAGGGAGGTAGGTTGTGTGCAAGGAACACTTGGAATTAGTTGAAAAGAGAGACTTAGAGGCTAGAGAATTTCATGCTTGGAATTGAAATGCAGAGCTAGTATAGTTTGTTCTCTGGAGCAGCAGTTCCAAAGTGTGGCTGCACCCCCAGGAATCCCTTAAAAACTACTCTGTGAAATAGTAGACTCTGTATCCAATGTGTTGACGTTTGTACTGATGGTGGAAAGCAGTGATTAAAACTAGCCACTATGTATGAATCAAGCAGTGATGCTATATTGCAGCCATGTACACTGTAGTAAACCTATAGTTAGAGCCAGTCTCACTTAAAAATGTCATTGATGAAGCACTAAAATTATTGATATTTATCAACTCTAAGCTCATACTTACATTTTTTTAATAACTTATTTGACAAGTGGAA